GGAGGGAGGGGTGAGCGAGTCCTGAGCGATTCGTTTATGCTTACGATTCAGCACAGGAGGGAGGGGGTGAGCGAGTCCTGAGTGATTCGCTTACGCTTATGATTCAGCACAGGAAGGGAGGGGGTGAGTAGCTCAAATGTGCTGTTAGCATGTTAGCAGAGCGATGCTACTGTGAACCAAGGAGCTATTGTCTTGATGTGAGCTTCTACTCAGGGTTTTTTCTTCCAGTTCAGAGCAGAATTTTTTTTGTTAAGATACTGGATGTTGTGTTTTTCTCCACAATTTTATTTATAAGCTAGATATATTGCTGCTAACAGCAACAGGGATGAGTCAGTTGGGCTTGTGAATCATGATTTATGAGTCAGTAAAGTGATTCTCGAGTATTGAACGATTCGTTCATGATTCGCGCATCACTAGTTCTTCCTGTGGAAAGGGAGTTCTTCCGCCCCAACATTACCAAGAGCTTGCTTAAGTGGGATTGCTGGATGATGGGGTTGTAGGGTCTTTATCTTAAAACGCCTCGCGACAGTTGTCGATACGGGTTTGCACTATATGAATAAAACTGAATTTAATCGCTTTAGCGTAAGTCGTCACCTCGTGGCGGCTTCTAAAAACAGAGGAAATAAAACAAAGCGCACATGTGGCTGCTGGCTCCGCCTCCGCCACGTGACAATGAGCTGGCTGAGTCAGCCGGCTCGTCATGCAGCGTCAGTCTGGAGTCGCACAATTATGAAAAGGCAACCTTCCGTTGGAGCTGCACCCGAAGCGGATCTCTCCAACGTCTACCGGGCTTTCCTTCCAAGGCTAACTGAGAGTACCGCTGATAGATGGATAAAAGCCACGACAGAGCTCTTCCTGAGTCTCAACGGTGAAGAGAATGGTATGTGAAGCTCTCCGGGTGGTCAGCTGCCACCCCTGGGTTTTATGTTCTGGTTAAATTGGCGCGGAGGATCATCGTGACTGATCGAGGTTTGAGTGGCAGGTTCCCCCCAATGCATGCTGTCTCCTGCCTGGTCAGGTATCCAGCTGGGGTCGCGGTGACGCTTTGCCGTTTTTTCCCCTATAATCGCTGCATGGCTGTTGAGTTGACACATTGTAACGTGAAGGTAGTGTGCGAAGAGCGCACAGTGACACATCGTCTAGCAAAGAAAACTCCAAATCACACACGGGCGTAACGTTAGGAGGCTAAATAGCTAGCGAGCTAGCGCTATACTAAGCTAACAAGCTAGTGGAGCAGCAGTAGCAGTGGTAGCTGGCCGATATGAGCAACGCTGTCTTTGAGCTTTTCTTCACCTCACGATCATTTAGACCTGATAATATCAGCTAGCACTTGTTTAAGACGTTTCCTTTAGCTGTCTCAGATTTCAGACAAGACACGCTGTCATTACCACCAACAAGTCAATGCAACCCTGAGTGGCTGCCAAGTCTGCGCAGACGTGCCAGCGTCAGGAAAAGTAAAGTGGTGTTGAAATGCTCATTTTATTAGCTCAGGTTTTGGTGAAACGCCTGTATTTCTGCTCATGTTGGGCTGGACCTGAACGTTTCAGGCCTGTTGCAGTCATTGTTGTGGTTTTATTCCTGGAGAGAGTCAGAGAGACAGGGAGGAAAAATAACATGGAATTGGTTTAAACAACTGGGTTCGAGCCGAGCGCGTGCGCGACGACTATTAAAAAGTCGTCATCAATGGAGTGTCGATTCTAGGATTCACCATGGCAACCGTAGAGGATAATGATGTCCTTGGTAACGTCCGCTGGACTTCTATCTGTTTGCGTATTTCTCTGAATATACTCGTAATGTTTTTCGTGCGTTTAAAACCTACAAGGGCCCTCCAGAAAGTATTAGGGTCACATAAAAAATATTTTATTGTCATTTCACCTGTACAGGGAAATTGTATGTTATCTTAATTCAGACATCAAAGAAAAAAACAGACTTAAATAATCTA